TTTTTTTTTTTTTTTGAAAACAGAGAGAACAAAGAGATGGAAGAGGTGAGGAGATGAAATTTCCTCCTCGGTCAGAATTTAAGTGCTAAGAGCGAGATTGGAGAAGAACGTGCGAGATGCTCACGGGAATATCGCACCTGTTTTTTGAACGCGAAGATAAGAGAGGAAGACTTGGCTCGTGCGGTTGGGAAGGAGAAGGATCTGCGGGCTCTTCATTTATTTGGCCACATTTCTTGTTGGGCCAAAGGAATTAAATGAATTTTGGGCCAAGGACATTTATCTCTTAATGGTTCAAGAAATAAACACAAAAGGCCCAAAACAATTAAAGTTGGAAAATAATCTCGACTGGGCCGGAATAACACGATAATAAGAATTAAAAATAAAACCGGGCATAACATACATATATATATATATAATACACACAATAATATTATTAATAATAATAGGCATTTAAAACAATTAGACATTTAATTACAAATAAATATTTACTAATAATAATAATATAAATAATAGCAATAATAAATCAATAAATAAATCCCAAATAATTCCAATTTATTCATAAACGAACGGGGCGTCACAGTCTACCCACCTTACAAAGAATTCCGTCCTCGGAATTCGAAAATAAAAATCTAGAAAGCGATAAAATACAAAGGAGGACTCAGAACTCAAAATTCGGATAACGCCTCCTAATACTGTCCTCCCTCTCCCAAGTCGCCTCGGTCTCATCGTGTCGGCTCCACAGCACTTTCACCAAGCTCACTGCCCGGTTCCTCAACTGATGGACCTTTCGGTCCAAAATGGCTACCGGCACCTCCTCATAGGTGAGGTCTCGCTCGACCTGCAGCTCGCCGAAGTCCACCACGTGGTCGGGGTCATGCACATATTTCCTAAGCAACGAAACATGGAACACATCGTGCACACCTGACAAATCTGGTGGTAAAGCCAGCCGATACGCTAAGTTCCCGACTCGGTCGAGGATCTCAAAAGGACCGATATAGCGGGGTTTAAGCTTTCCCCTCTTCCCGAAGCGAATCACCCCTCGCATGGGCGAAACCTTCAGAAGAACATGATCTCCCACCGCATACTCATGCTCATGCCTTTCCCGGTCGGCATAGACCTTCTGCCTCTCCTGGGCGGACCTGATGGCCTTTCGAATCTCCTCAACGGTCGCAGCAGTACTCTGAACAAAATCTGGTCCTGTGATCCTCCTCTCTCCAACCTCATCCCAATACAAAGGAGTCCGGACCTTACGTCCGTACAAAGCCTCGTACGGGCACATCTTGATTGAAGAGTGGTAGCTGTTGTTGTAGGTCAGCTCGACTAACGGAAGGGCATACTCCCAAGTCAGGCTTCGGTCCAAGACCACAACCCTCAAGATATCCTCCAAGTACTGGATCACACGCTCCGACTGACCATCTGTCTGGGGGTGAAAGGCTGTACTGAACTCCAACCTCGTCCCCATGGCTCGGTGCAACGTCCTCCAGAACTGGGATGTGAACTTGGCATCTCTATCAGACACGATCTCCAGAGGCACTCCATGCAGTTTAACAATGTCCTTGACGAACAATTCGGCGTAATCACTCGCCTTCATGGTCGTCCGGACTGGCAGAAAATGGGCAGACTTCGTAAGGCGATCCACTATCACCCAAATCGAATCATACCCGC